CAGATGCTCTCCTCTTGATCTCATGTGCTGATCATTCTAATGAGTGATATTACTGGATATCTTATAAGCTTGTCATTTGGCTGCCAGTTGAGTCATGGGGGTTAAGTTCTGTTCCTAGCTTGAAGCTTGACTAAGAGCCATAGTCTTGGGGGTTCCACCAGTCTTCATCAGACCAGTAGGCCTGGACTTTTTTATGATTGTGAGTTTTGTTACATATATTCCCTTACTCTTTCTGGGATCTTCTTGTGATCCCTTTCAAGAGCAGTCAGCAGTGGTAGCCAGGCACTATCTAGTTCTGGTCTCAAAGTCATGGAGATTGGGGGTTAAAAAGATTTTCATCTGTATTCATGAACAATTTCACCTATTTTTTTCCTGAACTTTATACCGCTTACACTTTTTTTTTTTTTGGTAATGTCTTACTTACTGTTTTCTTACTTAGGGATAATGCTGGCCTCATAAAATGAGTTGAGAGTAATTCCCTCCTTTTGTATGTTTCTGTAAAATTAGGGTAATTGATATTATTTCTTGAGCTGTGGTGGCATAGTGCCTAAGGCATTTGCTAACCAGAAGGCTGGTGGTTCAAACTCACCAGCCACTCCTCGGAAGGAAGGTTAGGCAATCTACTTCCATAGAGATATCACCTCTTAACCCAAGGAGGGGTCACTATGAGTTGGATCCAACTTGATGGCAATGAGTTTTTGTTGTTGTTGTTGTTGTTTAAATGTTTGATAGAATTCATTAGTAAAACCATCTGGGCCTGGTGTTTTTTTTGTGTGTGGACAGGTTTTTGATTGTGAATTCAATTTCTTTAATAGATACGTAGCTCTTCAATTTTTTTCTATTTAATCTATCTCTATATATAGCCATGGAGCTCTAGTGGCATAGTGCCTAAGGCATTTGACTGCTAACCAGAAGGCTGGTGGGTTTGAACTGCCAGTCTTCTGGTTAGCAGTCAAATGCTTTAGGCACTACATCACCAGAGCTCCTAAGGAGGTGTCAACCAACTTTTAAATACATCTCAACAGATTGAATTTGAGGAAGAGAGGTAGTGTGGCTTTACAATTGTTAACAATAATTCAATCATGAACTAAGTATTAGCAGTACGAATAGATTGGAAAAGACAGACAAAGTCCAAAGTCTCATTGCAAAAAGGGTCAGGGAGGCCACATGTTCTGACCTCCTCTAATCCCACAAGAGGAAGGCAGAATCACCATCAATAGCGCAAGGCCTATTACTGCAAGGCCAGACATGCTGCCTCCCTCCAGCCCTTTCACCAACCGTTCCTCCCAAACCACCCACCACCTCTCTCCTGGGTTCGATAATTCTCTGCAGTGGCCACACAGAGCTCACAGATTATGGGGTTTATTAGGGAAGCACCACAGGCTACAATTCAAGTTCAGGAAAAATGCTCTGTCTCTCTCCCAGCCCACCGTCCCTCAGCCAGCAGTCTCTCACAGTCTCTTTCCCAGCAGTGCTGGTCCCTCGGTGTCTCACTCAGCAATGTGTCTTTCTTGCGTCTCTTTCCCAGCAACGGGCGTCTCAGAAGCGCGTGTCTTTTTCAGCAGCACGTCTTCCTCAACCAGCAGTCAGAGAGAGTTCTGCCTCTAGGAGGCCTCCTTTTGAGCTTGGCAGAGTGGCCAAACTAGCCAATCATAGCATCAGAATTCTAAGCACCTGAGAGAGAGCCTCCCATAACATTGTGTTGTGCCACACCCAACAGAAATAACCCAGGTGGATAACATTTATAATCAGGAGCTCCTCAGTTGCTCATTCCGTCACTGAGTTTACAATAACTTACGGGTAGGAAAGCCATACTAAGTAATTTACTACACTGCACTCATGAAGTTAGTGGTTTTGAAACTAGAGTATGTCTGTCTCAGAAGATACAGAAAGACTTTTCTAGAGCATGCCAGCATGGGTACTTCTAAGGAAACTCAGTTTCTACATCTTCAACCCTGTTCTTTTCTGAAATTCTGCCCTGTGGTCAAAATATCATGTAGTTTCTTTTATCCACTCTTCCTTTTACAACTACTCTTCCTCATTTTGCAAAGACTTAGCTTTCTTGATTCTTACTATGGTATATAAAATTCTTGGGGTTTCCTAAGAAAGGAACATTTTAAAATACTGGTATTGATGTACAGAAAATGAGTTTCTAATGACTGTCAGATCCTTGTGCAAATCAAGTAGTTTTCAGTTCTTTGTTTCACTACAGTTGATTGCTGATTTAATTGAATTGTCAACTCTGATGCTTTATTAAAAAATTACATTAGATCATTCTGCATTTTTTTTAGCAGATAGCTTAATAGGTACCCAAAGAAGGTGAGTAACATCGTAATAAAACTTCTGTCATTCCCATCTCCTCATTTATGTGAATAAATTTTTTCTCATGGCAAAAACACAAATTTATGAAAATAAAAAGTGAAAAACAGAATTGATGCTGATCCCTGGATTTATAATTAGGAGGGAAAAAAGTTTCCTCCTCCTCATCATGAGTTGACACAGTAAAATTTTACATATGCATATATTACAAATGTATTTATATACACACACACTCACCATATAATTAATTCTTTTATTTTGATGAGTTCGGTACTTGTAATACCGTAGATAACTCAATCCTAAAAAAATAACACTTGCATGCAAAAGAAATTTGAAAATCTTGAATTTAAATTTAATTACATATATTGTTTGTAGAAGTAGGATAAAGAATAAATGCAATACATCCACTATGGAAAACAGTATGGTGCTTCCTTAAAAAGTTGAAAATAGAAATACCATTTGATCCAGCGATCCCATTAGTAGGAATATATCCTAAAAAGATGAGACCTGGACACAAAAAGATATATGCACACTCATGTTCATCACAGCACTATTTACAATAGCAGAGATAGAAATAACCTAAGTGCCCATCAGCAGATAATAAATATTGTATGAGTTTATTATTGTAAAAAGTCAAGGGAAGGTTTACACAGGAAACGAAATTTTCTTTGTTGGTTACCAGGGATGGGAGGGGAGAGGAAAGAAGGGAAAATATATGGATAATTAAATAAGAGATTTGATATAGGTGAAGGGATTTAAAATAAATAAATAATAATAATAATAAAAAGAATAAATGAAGACTTCAAAGTATATATATACTGGTTTAAAATGTTGTGGGAAAAGAGAAATATAGACACAGGTCCTTCACTGTTTAAGAAGAGTTTGCCCACAGTTTTTACAAATGGATGATAGTATCATTCTTTACTGAGTACCAGCTGGAGTCTTATAAGTTTGTGAGTGGCCATCTAAGGTGCAGCTATTGGCTTTCCTCATCTGGAGCAAAGAGGAGTAAAGAAAATCAAAGAAGCAAGGAAACTTATTTGTTCATAGAACTAAATGGAACACATGAACACCAGCATCCACAACCCTGAAGACCAGACAAAATAGATGGTGGCCCACTATCACTACTGACTTCTCTTAAAGGGATCACAGTGAGAGGTCCCAAATAGAGTGGGGGAAATGTGGGACAAAACTCAAAATCATAAAAAAGACTAGGCTTACTGGTGTGATGAAGACTGGTAGAACCCCCAAGACTATGGATGACCCTTAGGTAAATACCCTTCAAGCTAGGAGCAGAACTTAATCCCTGTAACTCAACTTTCAGCCAAACGATAGGCTTAAAAGGTGAACAGTAATATCAGGGGTGTGTGCACTCATTAGAACAGTCAAGCATCTGAGGCCAAGAGGGCATTTGCCCCAGGGATGGAGCTAGGAAGTCAGGAGGGAATGGGAAGAGAGGGAATGGGAAGGAAGGACAAAGGAATGGATGGGAGTAGAGAGGAAGTAGGAAGAATGTGGGAATAGTGTGGGGATTGCAGTAAATGTCACAAAACGGAATGTGTATAAATTGTTGAATGGAAAATGAATTTGCTTGGTAAACTTTCACCCAAATCACAATTTAAAAAAAATAAAAAATGGATAATAGTAGATACTACATTGCTACAGAATTTAGATTACATTGGATAAATTTCAAAGAGTGAAGTAACAGTTTTATCTTAACATGTCAATGAAAAGTTTTAAATAATAAATTGTAAATATACAAGGATTTACATAGTTGTTCAAAAGTATTTCAGGAGATACCTGTTATGGTTACCTGGTGCCATTCTGACAGGAATATACCACAAATGGGATGGCCTTAACGAACAGGAGTTTATTCTTAAAATTTGGAGGCTTTAAGTGCAAGTTCAAATTGCCAGGCTCTAGGGGCTGGGTGAAAGTCCCTCAACCTGGGGCTTCAGCTCTGCCTCCAGCTCCCAGCCCACTGAAGCTAGAGGCATTTCTTCACTCAGACAGCTGCTGGATGCTGAGGCTGAGAAGCCCAAGGTTGACAAATAAAATGGCACGATCCCGATGTTACCAAACCACACAGCAGGCCATTAACTTAAGTCCATTGTAAGTCCCAAGGTCAGCAGAGCATAGCAGGCTGCTGAGCAACGACACAGCTACATGCAGGGTCTAAGCATGCCATAGGCTAGAGACCATTCCCAAGGCTTCTCCTTATACAAGAAGCAGACCACAGCCCAAAGGCAGCTACTCAGCTGCTTGTAGGTAGATCCCACCGTGGAGTTGATGGCCAGTCTCATCATGGGGAATAACTACCACCAGCTGCCCAGCCACTCAACCAGGCCCAGCCAAGTTGACACAAACATAACTACCACAATACCTGAATAAAATAATGTGAAAAATGATGGCTAGGCCAAGACTAGCGTGAATTAAAGAGTCACCTAGGGCAAAGATTTTAAGGAAATACTCATGCACAGGATCCTGCAAGTGTTAGGTTAGTACTTATGGGAACCTAAGAGTGAGCACCTCCTTAAATTTTGCACTCTAGACTCCTTGCCTCATCGTTATCCCATCCTGGATGCCTTGATTATACAATGTAAGAAGTTAATGTGTGAAAAATGAACCTTTGAACAAAATATCAATAATTTTTCACCAGCTGCTTTTAATTTGCTTTTTAGGGTGGGATTGAAAACACAGCCGGAATCAAAATGCCCCGAGCTGCTTGCCAATTACTGTGACATGTTGCTAAGAAAAACACCGTTAAGCAAAAAACTAACCTCTGAAGAAATTGAAGCAAAACTTAAAGAAGTGGTACATAAATTTTTTTGTATTTCAGATTTTTTTAATGACCTTACTTTTAACTTATTTTTTGCTTATGACTTTCCGTGATAGCATCAATAAAAAACGTACGTCTGTAAGCAACTCATGTTATGAAGTTTTACCATGTAAGACTACAGGACAGTTACATTTCTCCTTGAAAAGTTTTACTTATAGTTGCCTGAAGGAAAAATATCATTTAATCATTTCCTTTTCTTGATTCTTTAAGCAACTAAATTCTACCTTTTATTAAAGGACAAAAGGAAGAATAATGGAGCTGTTGGTGTTTTGAACCATAGTTAAGAGACTGGGAGTTTTATACTCCTTTCTTTTTGTGAGAAACTAAGATAGATAGCCAAAGATGAGGAGCATAAAGAGTAATTGCTTTCACTCTCATATTGGTATCCCAGTTGTTAGTGCGATGGTATAAACCAAGGATTATAGATGGGGGAAAAAAAAAGTAAAGATACAGGAAACAGACAAAGAAACCTAGAAAGGGAAGTGCTAGAAAGAAGTGAAGAAGATATGTGGAAGAGAAAATTGGGGAAAAACTATTGCTTTTTCACATAAAATATTGTTACATTTTATATAAAATCTGAAAAATGACATTTCTAGGAAAAAATATAATTTGATTATAATCTCAAATTTGCTAACTTTTAAAGTGGTGTATCAATATCTTTCAGAACTGAGTGTTTTTCAGAGTTGAGCAATTTTGTAGGTCTGTGCTTATATCAGTTTCTGATTTTTGAAATTTGACGAGTAGGGAATGAAGAAAGGTCTAAGTGAGAGAGAGATCTAAGACTTTATAAGAATTGAAAGTGACTTTGTTTTCTATACAGCTCTTGGTGCTTAAATACGTACAAAACAAAGACGTTTTTATGAGGTATCACAAAGCTCATTTGACACGACGTCTTATATTAGACATCTCTGCTGATAGTGAAATTGAAGAGAATATGGTAGAGTGGCTAAGAGTAAGTAAACTTTGTATTTCTAATATTTTCTAATATAGTGCATGGATCATATGTGTCTTTAAGTAATACATTTTGTCAATATCCTTAATGTCAAAGAGATAGGGAACATTATATAAAATACAATATCAATTATATAAAATAAAGCAATACCTAGTAAAGTACATTTTCTCAATAAAGCCTTTGTTGTTGTTGTTGTTATGTGCCCTCGAGTCGGACCCGACTCATAGCGACCCCTCCTTGGGTTTCCGAGGCAGTATGACTATGGAAGTAGATTGCCCCATCTTCCTTCCGAGGAGTGGCTGGTGGGTTTGAACCGCCAGCCTTCTGGTTAGCAGTCAAGTGC